AAGCGCTGGTACGTGCATCCTGAGACGTCGATGCGTCAGCCCAGGCCTAGTAGCACTCATGTTTATGGCGTAATACAATTTTGCAGGAGCGACCAAACCATGGCTGGGTTCTGCCTTCGAGAGGTTTCACAGATGATGGAATAAAAAGTTTCATTCCCTGTACACCACACCACATCAGTGACGGAAGCAGCAACAGCGGTGAGATCATCCGGTGAGAAGTAAACCTGTCCCCAAGGGTAGGATGGAAAAAAAGATCGCATCCCTCCCAATCAGTTGACCTGTATTGCCAAACACGGCAACAACCTACAGAACGCAACTACAATAGGAACGTAAGTGGCACCGTACTCCGGATCAGATTGTCCGAGGGGCCAAGAGGGGCATTGAAGGATACCTGATATCCATCCGGATGAGAGGTCAGCAGAAGGTCCTACAGGGAAGGTGTATGATCTTTCACATCTGGAATCCGCATAGGCGAGGTAACCAGTTGTCAGATCATATGCCAAAGCAAAGTCACAAACATATTTACCCACATGATCGGTTAAACGGGAACCAAGCCATTCAGCGTGGTGGGCGTTAAAATCACAAAGCATCACGATCTCTGCGGATGGTACCTGTTGTAGCACGGAGTCTGCAGCTATTTGGACGTGGTCAATGAGTCGGTCTCTGTCGGCATTAACGCCGTAGGACTTATATAGGCACAGGTTCTACTTCGCGCTGGTCTTCTGTGCAACAGCAAAAGCTTCCACTGTTAGTTGTTATGTAACGTGACTCGGTATCTAAAACATGTTTCAGTATGTAACGTGTCTCCTTATTTAAAACATGTCTCGATATCAAAAACAGACAAAAATCGATGGTACAAATACTTTGTTTCGTGCGGGATTCGAACCCTCGGCTCTCAGCGCCGTAACTAATCGCTAGGCTAATGCGCCACGGAGTCGTCAAATCTGGATGGATGAACTATCTATAATAAATAATAATGTTAATTTGGAATCCTCGGTGCTCGAGTTCTGCTTACTCTTGTCCGTTTTTTTTTTTAAATTTTGTGTACCAGTTGTATGCTAGATTTACCAAAAATTCTATAATAAAAATAAAATATGATTACTATTTTCGAAAAATATTAAAGCATATGTGAAGCTAATTTTCTTTACTCTATTTTCCGGAGACCATAAATTAGTTTTCTCAACGAGCTGTTAATAACGAGATACTTAAGCTTTAATATATCAGTGCTGGGGAGGGGTGTACAAACTCGGTGTGGTTTCAAGTGGCGCTGTCGAGCGGTTGCGGCTCGCATGATAAACGGTTTGCACGGACAGGAATGCTATATTACCTGGCACGCCTTAACTCAAAAATATTTGACAGACGTGTTATCTGTGGCTTACCTTACTTTCGTGCTGTGCAATTTTTGTTGTTATATAAAACAAATTAATGTGTAAAATTGGTTCCCTACACTCATCTATTCGTACCGTTACAAGCTTGGGGTTCGTGACAATAAAAACTGCTGCTTGAATTACCAAAATTGATACTTTTATTACTGGACGCCAATTACATTTCAAAACACACAAATAATAAAACACAATTCGCAGTTATATCGCTTCGAAGTATTTATTCACTTACCTTGTTTTACTGGAACATCTTGAAAGTTCGAGTATATACCGGCCCCAACTAACTAAACGAAGAAAGTTCTAGTATGGAATTCTTTAGAAGGAGTAGTTCCACTACTCGATACTAGATGGCGCTAGTGGCACATCAGCCAGGCATTAATTATGGCGCTCAACAATATTATAGTTAAAGTGTATCAAAAACATGAAAGAATCATAGCATTTGGGATGATGAATACATAAGTAAAATACAAACAGACATAATATATTAATTAAGCGTAGTAACAGCCGAATAAAAATATTTTTCGACATACTTTGTTAATTTCTAGAAGATTCATAATTTCTAAGACATTCAGGTTTCTTTTTACCATGATGCTTTACTGCCAAGCCACATTACGGGTTGGTAACTGCCGTTTATTTTTTATTTTTAGTCGTTATTAGGAACAAGCTGATGCTTATCTTCTAATTTGTTTTCCTTTGTCGCCTCTTACGACACCCACGGGATGATATGGGGTAGAATTTATTCTTACATCGTCATTACACGGTACACTTTTGCACGGTATTGCTGTCACGCTGCGCCTAAATGACTGATCCAGACCGATAGGACCAAATGTAGCTCCGACAGACTGCAACTAAATTTACATTTAAAATTATACAGACATCATAACATCTTTCCTACTCAAAGCTGTACCTACTGATTTAAATTTTTTCATGTCTGTTTAATGTCTATATGTTTGCTTTTATTTTATGTTCGTTCAATTTGTTTTTTGTACATCAAACACGTGCAGTAAAAATGGGCAGTATTTGCAAATTTAGGTTTATAGTTTTAAAAATATACAAACTGTAACATGCTATTTCACTCAGGGGTTGAATTTTTAAAAATCCATTCTTAGTCTTAGTCTTCTAAAGAAGTAAACATGCCAAATTTCAAATCAATCGGGCTTATAGTATTAGAGACCTCGTGAGGAGTGAGTCAGTGGTAGTTCGCTTATGGTGTCCCAGAAATCAACGTCAAGCCGGAAACGGGCAAAATTGTAAGATTTTTTAAAGTATAAAGATTCAAAAATAAAACTCAAAAACTGACACACTGTGATGATCTTTCAATTTCTGTCACTACAAATATTGGGTCCTTACATATGAAGTTAGCGTTTTGTCGTACTGACCACTTTGATCTGAAATATCTCCTCTTTGGATAAGAATTCCAAATTCAAATTTATAAATTCATTTAGCTGCTACATTTGAGTTTTGAAAATAGTCATTCATTTGTTTTTTCCTCATAATTTTTTTCTTTGGCATCGCTTATTACCGCACAATGGAAAACATGAAATATCGGTATATTTACGAGTACGAGTTCTAACGTGGCACCAGTGCTGCAGAAACAGCTCGAAGGATTAATGATGTGTACGGCGCTGGTGTCGCAAAAGAAAGCACGGTACTTTTTTGGTTTCAACGTCTTCGTTCTGGAAATTTCGACCTTCAGTACCAACCCCGTGGATGGCTGAAGACCAAAGAGGAAAATGAAGAATTAAAGGCTATTGTGGAAGCGGATCCATTACAAAGCACTTCAGAGATAGCTGCAGCCTTTGGGATAAGTGACAAAACTGTATTAATCCACTTGAATCAAACCGGGAAATTAAAAAAACTTGAACGATGGGGAACTCATGAATTGAGTGAATCGAACTTGCAAACACGCATCGACTGCTGTATTACTTTGCTCAACCGATACAAAAATGGAGGGATTTTAAATCGAATCATTACTTGTGATGAAAAATGGATACTGTACGATAATCGGAAGTTCTCGTCATAATGGCGGAACCCTGGAGATCCAGTCAAATCCTCCCCTAAACGAAAATTGACTCAGAAAAAGTTACTTGTGAGTGTTTGGTGGACTAGCGGCGGTGTCGTTCACTACAGCTTTCTAAAATCTGGCCAAACGGCAGATATCTTCTATCAGGAACTGCAAACCATGAAGGAAGAACTAGCTGCTAAACAACCGAGATTGTTCAATCGCTCTAGGCCACTGCTGCTTCACGACAACGCAAGACCACACACTACACAACAAACAACCACTAAGTTAGATGAGCTACAATTGGAATGTCTGCGACATCCAACGTATTCCCTAGACCTTTCTCCAACAGATTACCATTTTTTCCGGAATTTGGACAACTTTTTACAAGGAAAAAAAATTCAACTCCGATGCGGCAGTCCAAACCGCCTTCAAAGAGTTTATTAATTCTCGCCCCCATGGTTTTTTTAGTAAAAGTATCAATGAACTACCGATGAGATGAGAAAAGTACATAGATAACAACGGTGCATACTTTGATTAATTAAACATATTTTACAAAAAAAAAATTACTTTATATTCCTCCCGTACAAAACGCCAATTTCATATGTAAGGACCTGTTATTAACTTTTAGTGAGTTAATTAAACAGACAGAAAATTTTATAAAAAATAAAATAAAAAAGCAAGATAAAAGTTACTTGCCAAAATAGTGTAAGTAGTACATTTTTTTTACAGTACAGACGGTAAAAGCTGGGTGATGTAATTATTTAGAAATCCAATGTTGGGCAAAATTCTAACATTTTGTTTAAAACTGAAGCAGTTATGTTTAAACTTTTTAATGTAATTTATAGAAGGCTTATTCTTTTTTTTTTTTTTTTTTTTATAGGATAGGGTGACAAACGAGCACACAGTCCATCTGATGGTAAGTGGTTGCTGCGGCCCATAGACATCTACATCTATCTTCCATTACAAATCAAAATGCAGATGCGTTGTCACCCGTGAGGACTGAGATGGAATGCCTCATTTCCAGTAAAAAGGGTCTCCGGTTCTCTACACTCACCATACGAAATACAGCAGCATTAAGCTACTATTTCACGCTGGTATTCTGTGAGAGCGTGGTCCTTCCCCGGTCGAGCCGACCCATTTGTGCTACAACTATACTACTAATATAATTGCAGCATGGCTCTACCACGTATAAAATTCATAGTTACGACATAAAAAAACACCTGACGCGAAGTTAATATATTCACTTGACTTGAAAGATCGTGACAGGGAGTCACTTTTTGATTCGAAAAGTACATGACCAAGATTTTTTTCAAATATTTTTCTAATAACTGTCATGACTTGGTCTATTGCCCATTTTCGGCTTAACGTTGATTTCTGAGACACGTGATGATGATTATAAATAAGTTATAGAAATAAACAAAACATAGGCACATAGCAGTTGTAAGTAAAGATTATATCGATAAATTTGCTTTACCGAGAGAACACAGAGGAATGCTTTTGTATGGACTAAACGTCACCCGGATATCCTATGGCAAGAGCCTAGCTCCTAAGCACATTTAATTATTTCTTAGCATCGATATAAATGACATAATTTCATTCATTTTGTTTCTTAGGCACAGCACACACGCAAGAATGATTATCAGCGGTGCCAATGCGGTATACATCGTTGGAACTTTCAAGCATCTTGGAACAGATGCTGATTTCAAGGTAAAAATTATTATTCGGCATATTGTTGTTCAAAGATATTCTGGCATATATTGATCATTACTACATCCATATGGTTATGACTACTCAGGACATAATAATATGGCTGTATTCAAAGATCAAACCCACAAAATGCTTCTTTAAGATATCGACGTTTGATTTTATTATCATTCCTACATTCGGTGCATTAGATTGTATTGATTTGTTTATAATTGTGCTTTGAAAAAATGTGTTATTTATTTTAAATAAACCCTGAAAATATTTTAGTGTCCGACCGAAACAGGATTTACAACCGAAAACGAAACTTCGTTATAGGTGTCAGCTTTGGCCGATACCGAAACTTTTTTAGACATGTTAATTTTTTTTACTGTATACTGAAATCCGGTTAATTTTTTACACATATACGGATAAATAATTCGTGCTAATGAAAAACAGTAATTGTAGTAATCATACAAAAATATATTTATTTATTTCAAAGTAAAAAATTCAACAATTTAAAATTAAGAAATACTTTCTAAGTATTTTTTTTCAAGAATCAATACTTAAAGTAACTCGCTAATTGAGAACATATTTTATTGCGTTCACAATATTAATAATAATAGTAATTATATATTTATGGAACCCAACCAGATGAGAAAAATATAGATACCCCAAAGAATAATTATAATAAAAATAATAAATATTTATTTGCGTAAAACATGGTACATTTTTAGGTCTTATAAAATAGTGTGTACATGCATGTTTAACCGGTTTATCGGTATGTAAATATTACGTTAACGTGCAATGGAATAATTAAAATTAGAAAAATACAAAATTACAATATTATTTCATATTAATTTGAATAAAACAGTAAAAGAAAAAAATATACAGGCATGGTCATATCATAATGCTAGTAGCTCAAACTAGTAGAATCTCAATTTTACAGACTCTAAATCATTTGTCAATTTAAAATTTCATACATCAACAACAATTCGCTTGAGGTGATAAAATTAATACATTATTCATTGAGATCTTCAGATAAGCATTTACCAAATTTAATTATCAGTCTCAACAATGACTACAATACTTTTTACGAGCGAGTGACACACGAGTCACGATCTTATCCTAAGGCCCGGTTTACATTTTGAGAAGTGACAAGTGCGAGTGACAACTGACAAGTGGCAAATGAGAAGAGACAAGTGCGTATTTTATTCCCACTTATCACTTAGCACTGCCTGTTCACACGCACTAAGCACTTGTCATTTGTCACTTGTTATTGTCACTCGCACTTGTTACTTCTCAAAATGTAAACCGGGCTTAACGACGCGCGATAATACATGAACACTGCATTGAGGTATTACTACTACGTATAGTAATATAGTTTGACGAAACGGGCACTGAGGTTCGCAGATTTTTTTCCAAAACTGAAACGATTACCGAAACTAAGTTAATATGCCTTAACTAACCGAAACCGAAACCGAATCTTTTGTCGGTCACTAATATATTTCCAGTGAAAATTGCAGTTGATAAAGAATAAAATTCAAGCAATTTATGAAGATTCTTTAAAAGAAAATATCTCGAATGTAGCATTATGTGTAAAGTGTCTGTGTGAGTAGAATGCGTATTATTGAACTTTAAGCTCGAGGGTTCTCCTCCAGTTATGTCAGTTGAATGAAGCCCTGTCTTAACGTAGATTTTTGAAAAATTGTCAGCACCTTTTTAGATTAACATTACTTCAAATTTTATTACATAATTTGTTACTGGAAGCGCGTATAAATATAGTTTTACTTTTTCATTATAATGCTGTTGTAGAGAAAAGGCGGGAGTGTTTTCCATAGAATGAGGGTAAACAAACGTGCACACAGTCCATCAAATGGTAAGTGGATGCATGCTGTTGCCCATAGACTATCTCTATCCCCTCGATTAGGAATCGAATACAGTTGCGTTGTCATCCCTGAGGACCAAGATGGAATGCGATGTTTGCAGTAAAAAGGGTATCCATTTCTCTAGACTTACCATACAAAACACAGCACCATTAAGCTGCTATTTCACGTATGTATTCTCTGAGAGCGTAGCCCTTTATCCCCCGAGCCGAACCATTCGTGCTACAAATTTAACATAGCTGCAGCATGGGTATACCGCGTAAACTGGGAGTGTAAGAACCATGTTTTTAAATTGGTTGACCAATTGAGAAACATTATCTTTACATGTTACGTGTAACGTCTACGTGTTATTTTAAAAGTATCTCGCAACAAACTGGAGAACTATGTCATTTTGAGTGGGCTTTGTTGTAGCAGTCACAGATTATGAAAAAGTGGATAGTACTGCATTCTCTTTACAGTGCATAATGACTGCCGGTATATCAATAACTTAAGTGTTATTTATAAATATATATTAATTATTAACTGACGGGTTATAAAAATAACACTATAATGGAAACCCAAAACATTGTACAAAACGGAAAAAGTGCGGAGAGATGTAAAATAGAGACTGCCATCTGTTTCTCTCTCCATCTAGATCTATGTATATATGTCTCTCTTCGTTTAGGATATAAAAGATATATAAGTTTCAAATTATATCTATGTAAACTTGACAATTTTTTTAAAGAATATTAACAATGCTATAAACATTACTAATATTCCCCTTAACCACTCGTGGTAATCTTAAATTGCTTGTGTTACGCCAGTAGTCGAATGGCGGATTCGAACCCACGACCTTTTTGAGTTCGCGGTCCGCGCCCTGCCATTAGGCTACTGTCTGTACTGCTTTAAACAATTAGATGGTATATATATATATATATATATATATATATATATATATATATATTGTGTGTCTCTCTTCGTTTAGGATATATAGGATATATAAGTTTCAAATTATATCTATGTAAACTTGACAATTAGATGGTATTTTCTTGTTTAAGAATTTTCAATTGTTTGAAATTTAAATTGCTATTTATAATTTTATGTTTTTATATTAATTTTATTAATATTTTTGCAGCTCTACCTCACAACGAATGTTACTCAGGCGGATTTCAACATGGGCTACACCATGACCGGGACCTTAGAACGCGGCAACCGATCCACCAATACTTTCCAAGTGACTCACTTTGCCGTTCTAAGACGCTGCGATCACGAATCACATCACTTGAAGAGCTCGTAAGCATTTTTATCAAGAAAAAATCATAATTAAAACTTACAAAATATTGTTTTTATCTGAAATATCACACTTAAGTGTTTCCAAGGTTAAGTAACATTTATAACATGTCATTTATTCCTACATATGAGCTTCAAAATATTATTTAATTAAAACTACATTGGGATACCTGTAACCCAAAAAAATATAAATAATTCAGTGATACAAATTAACGACGAAACTAAGTTGTACTAATTATAATTTAAGAAACAAACTCTAATGCTAGTCATTTTAGGCTATTAAATATTGCAAAGCGATAATGTGATCTTTAAATTGGTTAGTATTTGTAATGTAGTTGTTGTGTAGTAATTATTTTGTAGTATTGCTGTTGTAATAACCATAGTGTGTAACCTAAATGAAAGCCTGTAAACAATTTCCTTAACGCAAGAAAATACTTGTGTGTAAATTACTAGCATGTAAATTTTCATTTGTTGTTCCCTTGTCGAAAATATTGTTTCGTTTATGAATTAGAATAATAAAATATGTATTCATAATACTGTTAATTTTTCGCACATATACGCTACATTCTAATATTTTTATTTATAAAATAAAGTACTTTACGACTATAATAAGGCATCAGGAGTCATACGTACCTGCTTGATTGAAGTATAGTTAAGAAACTGGTCGTATTGTCGTTAGCTGTATTATAGGTAGAATATGTTAAAATTAAGCTTGTGTGCTCATCGATAAATGAATTTATATTCATTTTAAAATGGCTGTGAGCGTGATTTAAATTGGCCGATGAATCTCCTTCACGCTTCGCCGGTTAAAATAATAATACATCGGACCACATCGCATATTGATCCTGACTAAATTGTTGTCCTTTACGTTAAAACGCACAATTATGTACCGTATGTAATCTAATGTTTCAAAATTTTATTTTTATACTACCAATCTGAATATTTTTTACTGATACTTGATTTTCACTTATTGACCTAAGTATCAAACTTATATAGGTACATTATATTATGAGAGCTTGATTTGGCATGTTTCCAACTAATTAAACTATCTAATGAAAAAATATACCAAAAAAACAACCAAAATGCTTGGCGGTGCACTACTGTGCAGGGTTTCTTTTACATAATATTGTAAAAGCTGCAACCTTGCGTTTTACTTTTAGATACATATAGACCTTTGCTAGTAACTTTGTGATAATAATGGACTCTCAAAACATAACGATGTATTGTATTCAATGTCCTTTAACAAAAATTGCATATGGCGGTATTACAACTCGTAAGTTATTTAGGGACTGTCGTCTTATTACATAATCCAACCATTCATAAAGGAGACAATTTGTTTTTGTAAGGAGAACGGGCCCACCACAAATTGTGGCGTAAGTTAATAAAATGCATGTCGATTTATTCCTTACAATCTCTAATATATAATATAATATATATAATATTAATGTTACTTTTACCACATCTAACCGGAATATTGAGAAGTTATTAATCAAACGGCAATCTCATTATAACCTTAAATTTTATATGTGCGATTGTCTAGTAATTTTTATCGATATTCTATGCTATAATAGTGCACTTTTAATAATAAAAAGTATTAAAAAGTTGTAGATTCTTTAAAATCTTAAATACTACTTGGTGGATTCTCCGGAACTACTAAAAGAATAGTTTTAGTAGTTCCGGTTCACTAATAAACAGACGGTGGTCATTTATATTAATTGATTCTTAATTGTATTATTTATCATGATTCTGGTTAGATTTTCATAAAATCTTTAGCCTTCAAGGGGAGTTCATTCAAACCTTAACGCCGTCCACTACCACCTGCGAAGCCGGTCTTGCTCTTTCTAACCGAGACACAGATGTCCTCTCAGGCTGGTACTTCGTATCTTTCCTACCCGGTGTACAAATTAGAACACTCCATTGTGCTCTGGGCTAGAGTTTGTATGTACGTCAGAGAAGACATCTGTTTTCGACGCCTCGGCAGCCTTGAAGGTACGGACCTTTCCATCTTATGGTAGCGCGTAGACAGCGACGACCATCCCCGCGTCTACGGGTGTCTCTATTGGTCCGGTAGCGGTAATGCCGACACAGACCGACTCATCCACTAGGTCCAGATGGCTGCAGACATCCGTGCTACAACAGGTCCCATCCGCAGAAATGCACTATTAATAATAAAAAGTATAAAAAGTTGAAGGTTCTTTAGAGTCTTAAATACTACTTGGTGAATTCTTCGGAACAACTAAAAGAATAGTTTTAGTAGTTCCGGAGGAGACTGTTCACTAATAAACAGACGGTGGTGATTTATATTTATTGATTCTTAATTGTATTATATGTGTGATACCGGTTAGAATTTCATAAAATCTTTAGCCAATTTACTATAGTAAATTGATATCTTTTTTATGTCTTGAAACCATTAAATTACGTTAAAATTTCTAGTGGGCCCAAATATGACTGAGACAATCGTTTTTTTTTTATTTGTAAAAACAAATGACATAGGGCTTTAACGTGACTTTTCTTGCATATTAAGACATTTGTTTAATCTACAAAAAAAGCTTTTAAAATACATCGACTAAGCTAATAATAAGTAAGGCATACTACTTCGTATTATCTCTAAGTATTAACTAACGCTAAGAAGAACACAAACGTCCAGTATCGCACTCCCTCCAGTGTTTATATACAATTTTTGTACAAAACTAGGAGTTTTATAATCGACTCCGGTTTGTCAATGAGTAGATAATTTCTAGATTCTCAAAAATAATTACACTGCTTATATTTTAATTAAGTTAGCTAAGCATTATTTGTAATATATTAAGGCTATTGTTATTTATAACCTGTTTGTATATCATATCTTATCGACATAACATTATAAGCTGCTGCAAGGCGGGCTCCGGGCGGCAGTTTTTGGAGGGCGGTATTTTAGAAATGAAAGTCAGCTCTGCGCCTTATCTTTTTACAGGCTGTTAGTAAAAAATCTCAAAAAATCTGAAAATTGACTGTTACTGAATACTTTTGATGTAAATATTACAAACACTGTAATGCTATAATGCAAGTTCTATTAATAGAAAGATAAATTTGCACGTATTCGAGATAATTTGCACACACACACATACCAAGTTGCCCTAAACCCTCTCAGAAATGAGGGGAGGCCTGGCCCGCAGTGGGATATATACTGTTTTTTTTCAAGGGTAGGGATAGATATAAAGAATGCATTATATTGTTTTATTCCATTTTAAAAATACTTCGAAAATAAGGAGCAGGGGGCGGGAAGCGATATTTTTGGTTCGAGCGACCGCAGACGGCAGCTACCCATGCCACACCACTGCTTGTAGTTAATCCTTGCAAACCTTATAAACCTTCAGTCAACTAGTTTCCGAAATATTGATGATCGATGTAAATATTAAATTTTTTAAGATTACTCTTTAAATCTTAAGCGTAGCACTAAAAGTATTAAAATCGGTTGTGAAGTAGTAGCATTTTTCATACTTCTAGTAGAATTTCTTCTAGTTAGATTATATTACTATGTATGTATGTTACGTAGTGGTTGTCCAATTTTTAGTAATATCTGACTTATTCAGTTATTGTGTACACCTATGATAAACCAAATGTTAGTGCTAACGCATTAGAAATATTACTATGTAGTGACAATAATGTTTTATTTATATTTTGCCGGCTTGGTGACGCCTAAAATTTATTCATCATCATTATATTAATTATATTTTAGCACGAATGGGTCGCCTCGACCGAGGTAGGACTACGCTCTCACAGAATACCAGCGTAAAATAGCAGCTTAATACTGCTGTGTTTCGTATTTTGAGTTTAGAGATCGGGAGACCCATTCTTACTGGAAACGAGATATTCCATCTTAGTTCTCAGGGATGATATAGCATCTACGTTTTGATTCTTTATCGAGGATAAATGTAGATATCTATCCGCTACAGCATCCGCTTACCATCAGATGGACTGTGTGCTCGTTTGTCACCCTCATCCCTCATAAAATATATTATAATCTTTTCACATGTTTTCATCTACTTCCTCTCTTTCTTTTCAATTCGCCCAACACTTCACTTGCTAATACGAAGCTAGTTATTCTTCAAGCTATACTAACGGCCTATTGCCACATCTGCCTAACTGCGAACTTCTTTTTTTTACATCCAATATACTAGTGACATGTTTTATCGTGAAATTGCTGCTTCATACAGCCAGAAGTCTAACAGTTCACGTCTCGGTGCCGTAACCTGGCGACGTGTACTGGCGTACCTTTGTTTTGAGATTCTCGTCGGTACGTATATCATAGTATACATAACGTAGGGTATATTTGTATACCAAACAAAAACGTTTATTGTCCCAAAATCCCGAATGCCAGTCGATTTTCTAAACATTTCTTTTTGCTTGTTTATTTGCAAAATACAGGGTGGTCAAATAAGAGGTATACAATTTAATTTATTAAATTTACTTTAGTGAATTAAAAATTAGACGGTATTTTTTCAAAAAAAATTATTTAAGCTTGGCAATTACGTGTGGAATATAGCATCCGCCAAATAGCAGCATGACAAATGAGAGCTCTTTTCATCTTGTTCCTCATCACATTTTCGCACACTTCCGATGTTACGACACTGACTGCGTCTCGGATATTCTGTTTTAAGTATTGAAGATTCATCGGCTTGTTAAGACAAGCACGTCCCTTTAGATACCCACAGAAAAAGTTCAGGAGCTGTGAAATCCGGTGATATTAATGGCCAATCATTACTTGAAATTAATTGACCTTAAAACATTCTTCTCAATGTCGTAACTCTCGATGATTTTTTGATAAAAATATGGGTTGCTTTCCAATTTGTTTAGCATAAAACTGCTGGAGTTACAACGGCCTTCATGATCTCGAGACTTAAGTTTATAAGTTATCCGAACCATATGTGGGAACCTTGTGTGGGTTAATATTCTGCTCCATACGAACTCTTCTGACATGGTCAGGAACTGGTTTATTTATTACAATACCTAACGAGTTATTGTTAA